GAGACGGGGTTTCACCACGTTGACCAGGATGGTCTCGATCTCTTGACCTCGTGATCCACCTGCCTCGGCCTCCCAAAGTGCTGGGATTACAGGCGTGAGCCACCACGCCCGGCCTTGTCTTTTTTTTTTAGACAGAGTCTTGCTCTGTTGCCCAGGCTGGAATGCAATAGTGCAATCTCTGCTCACTGCAACCTCTGCCTGCTGGGTTTAAGCAATTCTCCTGCCTTAGCCTCCCGAGTAGCTGGGACTACACATGCACACAACCGTGCCCGGCTAATTTTTCTGTATTTTTAGTAGAAACAGGATTTCACGATGCTGGCCAGGCTGGTCTCAAACTCCTGAACTCGTGATCCCTGCCACCTCGGCTTCACAAAGTGCTGGGATTATAGGCATGAGCCACCGCCCCTGGCCTTGCTGTGTAGTTTTTTCTTCCGCGAAGGTGCTGCCTCCCACAGCACTGCCCCCAGACCTTCCCTATGGGAGTGGCTGGTGCTGTGATTTCTCAGAGCTGCAGCCTCTGAACAATTCTGTCCTGCCCAAGACTTTCCATCAGGACCTGGAAGAGCCACCATAAGACCCACCTGCTCCACTGTTACTTGCAGACCCTGCATCTTCCAAAGAAACCCAGCTTTTGGGCTAGGCATGGTAGCTCACACCTCTAATTCCAGCACTTTGGGAGCCCAAGGTGGGCGGATCACTTGAGGCCAGTAGTTCAAGACCAGACTGGGCAACATAGCAAGACTTTGTCTCTACAAAAAGTAAAATAAATTAGGCATTGTGGAATGCACCTGTAGTCCCAGCTATTCAGAAGCTAGAGGCAGGAGGATTGCTTGAGGCCAGGAGTTCAAGGCTGCAGTGAGCTGTGATCACACCACTGTACTTCAGCCTGGGCCAGAGCAAGACCCTGTCTCAAAAAACAAAACAAACAAATAAAAAATCCCAAAATCTGCCTGGCTGGTTCTGCGTATTCCCAGGTAAAACGTTTGAAACATGTTAGTCAAGAGGTCCATGCCAACTTCTCTAGAGGTTTCTTGCACTGTACAAACTAGAGAAGTCTTCTTTGGTTTCCCTATCTTTGCTATTTCCCTGCCCCTGCCTGAGAAACCCACCCTTTGTCCCTTTTGCTGTAGCTTTTTCAACCAGCCAAGTGCCGGAGAAGCTGGATGTGGTGGTAATTGGCAGTGGCTTTGGGGGCTTGGCTGCAGCTGCAATTCTGGCTAAAGCTGGCAAGCGAGTCCTGGTGCTGGAACAACATACCAAGGCAGGGGGCTGCTGTCATACCTTTGGAGAGAAAGGCCTTGAATTTGACACAGGTAAGGCTTGCGTGGAAAAGGTTTGGGAGCATGGCTATATGTTGGGAGCAGAGCTGGGATTACAGACTTGAGCCACCGTGCCCGGCCTCTGGGCACTTTTCTTATCTGACAGTACAGCTACCAGGAGGTGAACCGGGCAGGGATCTGGTGGTTTCTGCTGTGACACCTCCCTATAGACAGGGTGGGCAGCTTGCTCTGGGCACGGGCTTGGCCAGGCCAGGCCAGATAACCTCTTCCACCTTACTTCCTCAGCCACCTTTTCAGGGCTCAGTCCCTGTATCTGTTTACCACCTTGTTTTTCATCTCCCAACAGGAATCCATTACATTGGGCGCATGGAGGAGGGCAGCACTAGCCGTTTTATCTTGGACCAGATCACTGAAGGGCAGCTGGACTGGGCTCCCCTGTCCTCTCCTTTTGACATCATAGTACTGGAAGGGCCCAATGGCCCAAAGGAGTACCCTATGTATAGTGGAGAGAAAGCCTACATTCAGGGCCTCAAGGAGAAGTTTCCACAGGAGGAAGCTATCATTGACAAGTATATAAAGCTGGTTAAGGTAACGTGGACATGCTGAGGACCCAGAGGTTATTCCCGGCAAGGCTGACTTTCTTCATTACTGGTGGAGTCACTGGGGGTGGAGAGTGCAAAGGAGGAGGCAGGAAGGGAGGAAGGGTCATATCTGTTCTCAGCTCAGCCTCCACCCGAGTCCACCCAGATGTCTGTTTCTCTCTCTTTGGAGCCTTGGCTCCACGGCTGCTGCTGTCACCCTGGCCTCTGGGAATGGCCTGCTCTCCTCCCTGACTAGGCTGGCTTCCATGATATCAGATCACTGCTCCTTTTTACTTCATCTGAGACCAGATTGGGATTTTTGAAAAGGAGTTTGAGCTGGAAAATAAAAAGCAAAAAAGGACTCATCTGAGTGTAGGATGGGAAAAATTCACACAGTATAGATTTTTCTAAAAATCCAAATTCAACAAAGTTCAGTCAGGGGTAAGTATTGCTGGATGCTCAGGCTGGTCCAGGCTATGGGGATAGCAATTCTGTCCCAGCAGTCCCAGGAGTGAGGCCTGTACTCGTTCCTTGTTCTCTCTAGGTGGCCTCCAGTAGAGTCCCTCATGCCATCCTGTTGAAGTTCCTCCCATTGCCCGTGGTTCGGCTCCTCGACAAGTGTGGGCTGCTGACTCGTTTCTCTCCATTCCTTCACGCATCCACCCAGAGCCTGGCTGAGGTCCTGCAACAGCTGGGGGCCTCCTCTGAGCTCCAGGCAGTGCTCAGCTACATCTTCCCCACTTACGGTGGGTACTGGCCATGGGCTCTGGGCAGCTTCTGGAGGAGGAAGGGCTGCCCTTTTGCCTCTCAATCTTTCTTCTCGACCCTGCCTGGCTGACTGATATGGGCAGTATAAACCCCAGGCACTCTGGAGCTTGTGAATAAGTCTGGCCACCTGCTGGGACTCCTTGGTAAAAATTTTCTTGATCCATGCCCTGGTTGATTTCTCAGTTCAACCAACGCTGTCCTCCCTGCTCTTGGCAGCATGGTACTTTGCAGGGAGGATATTCCTACTGGCCCTAAGATCTCTAAGGAACCCATGTCTGGATGGAAATGTCTCTTCTGGCTGCCTTGGACCCTGGGGGACATGTGGATCCTCGGATAGACTGGGCTGTGTGTTATCTCACAGAACTCCATGTTCCTTTCTGAATGGTGCTGGTGCCTGCTCCTGCCTGCTCACCACCCTTCCTTCCTTCTGCAGGTGTCACCCCCAGCCACACGACCTTTTCCATGCACGCCCTGCTGGTTGACCACTACTTAAAAGGAGGCTTTTATCCCCGAGGGGGTTCCAGTGAAATTGCCTTCCATACCATTCCTGTGATTCAGCGGGCTGGGGGTGCTGTCCTTACAAAGGCCACTGTGCAGAGCATA